AAATACTGATCCGATCAAGAAAATTCTTTCACCTACGCGAAGTTACATTTTATGCGGGTGACAAAAGCTATAATTTACTAGATCGCAGTCGCCGGAAAATTGCTAATATAAAGTAGATAATATGAAGTTTATATTTCTATAGTGGTTTTAGAAGTATATAATATTTGCGTATTTGCATAACGCGAATACGATTCATCGAAACGAATACAATATTAAATGCAGTGCAATGGCTACAATTTTTTCCTGCATAAATCTATAGAGCTTCCAAAGTCAATAGTAACCCTTGACGCTAAAAACTCCATTCATACGTACTTATTTTCTCATTTCCGATAACAAATTCAGTTAGTCCCATACCACAGAAAATATACACTAAACCCCACAATGACGTCATGCGGGCGCGCGTGCCAAAGCGCTTTAATGGTTGTCTCTCATAATTACTCCCCTATCACTTTATTATGCATGACATTAGGTACTCGAACGACGCTTAAACAGAACTGTAATCGATTAACAATGCTTGCAGTACCGATTTCTGAGTAATTATATTAAGTTTATGCTTTGATTTATGTTGATATTGTTACCTATATAATTCAGGAATTATTATTGTTTCTGTTCGATAATTATTCTTTTTAAATATGAATAATCAATTACCTGATATAATTTTGCGGATTATGAAACTGCAAATATAAATTCATCATTTTTATACAAAGCCCGTAATTTAGACACGCAGTTAAATTTTTTTCTACCTGTATACATGTTTTATCAATTAAAAAATAATTAACATAAAAATACTGTAATAATCTTGTAAATTTATTATATAAATATTCAATCATAGCAGACAACTTAGACAAGTTTAAAATTTCAGGGCGTTTAGTTCTCCCCGCTTTTTGAAAAAAAAAGCATTGCTTATATTGAGTTATGTTATCATAATATAAATTCTTCTCAAAAAGTAGATATATTATTCGCTATTACTATAAAATTAAAATGGACGCGTCTAAAATCGATGAATTAAAGTAAATAAACAAAAACTACATAATATACTAGCCTATCTGATAACAAAAATGATAACAGACCCTTTTTTTCGTTGAATATAAAACATCCTATTCATTATAGAAGTCGCTCCAACAAACGATACATAAAAAAACAGTTTTATAATCACTTCGGCGTCCGTTAACCAGCAACTTCCCTACTATCTGCCTCGTGAAGATCGGGACCGTTAAATAAATCCGGCTAATCGCAAAACTGCTCCTCATATTGTCCAAGCGTTCAATGCCTTCATTGTCTACAGAAGGTTCCGAAACTGCGAATCTCAAAAGTAACAATCACCCTGGCACAACCAAAGGAATATCTGTTCGAATGCTAATGAAATAAGGTTGCGAGTCAATGGTGGGACTTTTAAAAAAGGTTGCTCAAGTCTAACAAAAGGTAGACAAGATTGATGTAACGGTCGCTGGTAAGTTTGCGCACGTGCTAAGGCCGGCTGCAAGACGAGTGCCGTCTTGCAAGGATATAAAAAAAGATTGTATGGTGTACCTACGTGTGGGATGATTACGAGTTCCGTAGTATTTCTTTACTAAAGAACCTCGCATTGTGGTAACGGTAGTAACAGTACTATCTATTGCTATTTATACCTTCACTTTGGATCAGATAGATAGAGTACAATTTTGACCTTTTGGTTGTAAATGTTTGCTTTTAGTTTAATAAGTGAGATGCATTAAAAATATTAAGTAGGTTTACAAATACTGAAATATAGCACACTTTTATGGCCAATTTGTAGTAAGTATGTATATTATAATATTTTTTGGTATGTATTGGACACTAGTGGCCGCCAGCGACTTCGTCCGCGTTTTCCATTATTTCTTCGCTCCTAATAGTTGCAGCGTGATGTTATATAGCCTAAAGCCTTCGTCGATAAATGGTCTATTCTATTCAACACAAAAATATTTTTTTAATTCGAACCTGTAGTTCTTGAGATTAGCGCGTTCAAACAAACAAACAAACTTTTCAGCTTTATAATATTGGTATAGATATAGACATATTAATATCATTGTTTATGGCAGACATATAATATATGTCTGATGCCTTCTAACGTGGCGTATAAGTAAGAAGCACAACGCTGCTGTCTGCAAATCATCAATACATAATATGAAAAAACTTAAAAAAAATAGAACCGACTTCAATCTTAAAAACAATGATAAATAACACTTATCTCAAAAGCGACTTATTCAAGAAAATGCTGTTAAAGTCGGGCGATGCTCGTGAGATAAGTATTATTTCTCACTTTTTAAGTTTGATGTCGATTACATTTTTGACGTTTATATTTCATCTTTAGTAGATAATATAGATATTTTTTTTATATATAATAGGTAACACTAAAAATACTTTTCTAAAAACCGCGTCAAAATCGGTTCAACCAAACGCGAGATAATCGCGGACAATGCATACAACCATGCCGCCACTTTAAACCTTGTGCTAAAGTTATTCCTCGTTTTCATAGCTGATTTGTACTATGGCTGATGTATACCGCCTTAAGAATTCAAGCACCCCTCAGAAATTATGATTTTGCACTTCAGCCCTTACACATAGGAATTATCATAGACTGTAAATAATAATCATATAACGTAATTATTGCCTTTGCCATAGAAACGGAACAGTTCTGATAATTCTCAACTCTCTTCTCAAGAAGTATTTCTAACACAAAATCTTAATAATCTTATTTACGCCCGTCATTATTATAAACAAATAGACTTAGTCCGTTGACTATTGTCTGCAAAACAATGAAATAAATACACAAATAGAAAATAAATAGTAGGTAGTCGACTAACGATACCTATTATAAAAAAAGTCAATTACTTATGAGTATCAAAAGGACAAGGATGCGTATCCAACAGTACCTAACGTCTTTCCACCGAATACAAAAGCATAGATGAAAAACATTTTCTTTAATAAATGAATTCAAAGAATGAGTACAGTTGAACACAAAAATCTGATGATTTTTATTTTCACGAATTTATATAAATCATTAATTACACTAATACGTAATGAAACAACGACATAATCGTCGTCGTATAATAATGGCTAATAATATGGAATCATTATAAGAGCATAATCAGTCAACATATATAAGTGGGTATATAGGCACAATAAAACCATTTGAGAACCTCGTATTCTTTTGAAATCCGTTAAAAATATGACAAACATCCTTATTTTATTATTTATATTAATATTATAAAGAGGAAAGATATGACTGTTGGAATGGAATAGTCCGAATAAACTGGACCTTCATCTTTAGTGTGCGACATAGGCTATAATTTACGCGAGCGATGGCGCGGTAAAACAGCTAGTTTATTATAAGCGTTATGTGTTAAATGATACATCATATTTTCGAGCTTTGGAAATATCGACAAAGCAACGACATAATTATATGTGTAATTATATACTGCATTTGTTTTATTCAAAAAATCAATTCCGTTTCAAAGTCTCCTCGTCTCGTCAAAGTGCAGTTCTGAAACTTAACTGGTATTTGGAGCAGAAAGGTTTGGGATCTTGTTAAAATATTACAATGAGATTTTATCACAACGCCGCTATGTTTATTTATAATATCTGCAATATTTACTTTTTCATATTTAAATCAATGAAAAATGGGTATCCTTTGACTCTATAACATAACATAAAGTATAACTAATGAAAACTAAACAAGGTATATTACGGTATATTCAGACATTTTATAGTTTGAAAACGATTTTTAGGAAAAATATAAATAAACTATGAAATAAAACTGTTTCAATTTTTAAACTGTTTTTGTAAGATTAGTATAATACTTTTTATCTTAAGTAGAAGAATACTATATATTTTTAATCTAGGAACATACAATAAAAAACAATCCTTCGACATTAATTCGGATTTAAACTTATTCTAATATTATTTCCAAATTTCCTTCTCTTTCAATTTGACAATATTTATAAAGACACACAACCTATAATATAAAAAAGTATTTGTCTAAAATACCTACATGTTAACTTATGGGTAGTGAAGTAACTGTCTCTGAAAAGAAACAGCGGATCGAAATGTTCTATATAATCATATTTCTATAAAATTTAACATTTAAGCTAAATAGTTTTTTTATTTAAGCTAATATTTCCGGCTTAATTTAAAAATATGTATACAAAAAAAACATATATTTCAATCTAAAAAAAGTATATTGAAAAATATTAATTTGTATCTTTATTTGCTTACATATTGCATTAAGTCGTTAAAATCAGGAAAGCCATTTTCCTTCATCGAATACTGGCATTATGAAATGTGATAAACGTTATCGATTTCGTATTTTTGAATAATATTTCTCGTGTAAAATACGGTAAAAAAAGGATCCCGGATTTCACGAAAATATCATCTTTTTTTATTATTGACCTATTTATCGTTACCTTTGAATATTAATAGTCTTTGTTTGTTTTTATCTGCTGACCCACAAAACTTCGGAATTCTTCCCATTGTATCTCCACTTTTTCACATTTCTAACCCTATTATGAAACCAAATATGTAGATATATGTTTAAGTTTTATTTGTTACCTATCGCTCATGCCATTACTAAAGAGCAAGAAAGATTGAAAAACCGAAACTTACTAACAAAGAAAACATTTCAAAGTAGTCGGTGACTTACTTTAACATTTTAGTAGTCGGTGACTTACTTATTTTAAAATTCAACTTAATTATGCTCAGACCCCCAATATTTTGCATTGAAAACATGAGACAACCCTATTTGATGATAGTTACATAGTTATTATTAAATTCATAACAAAACTGCTACTTTCGGTAACTTATTAAGATCGCATTCAATTTCTACCTTATTGAATCTTCTATGATTTGTTTACTGTTACCAGAATATAAACAGCTAAAGGACTTGAGGAATTGTCATGTATTGCGAAGGTAGTACTAAATTTTATTAGAATTTATATGACAATACATTTTATGATTCAGTTAAACTGACATTTTCTCGTTTCATCATGACTAAAAATAGAGGAAAAAAGGTTAGTGCTCAATTTCTATAGAAAAACCATCGTTTTAATATACTATGTTCATTAAGTGATGAGACTAAGAAAAATTCATCGAAGTGAGACATTAAAAAATATTTTTTCAGGCGTCTGGGAAATCAAAACAACAAAAGAAACCAACAAGTGAAAAGCGTGCTGAAAATAGACAGGTTAGCGCTCCGAGCAATGAAGAAACTAGTGAGTTATCAAATCCACCAGAATCTGTAGTCCCTTCGACCTCATCTGAATCGAACATTACAAAAGTTACAAAAGACAAGATTCAGATGAAAGTGAATGCATGCGAAATAATTGCAACACCCAGCACATCAATATCGTTTCCAGGGCCCTCTCAAACAATAGATACGCCAGAAGACAGAAGACGAATAGAAGTAGAAATTCTAATAGATAACGTAAATAATTGTCAAATTTCATCAATACCGGTATTATCCGCGCCAGCTATAGTTTTGCATGAAAATATAGATCCCGATGTAGTTTCTAAATGGCCCCGTATACGCAAATCAAAAGTGCCTTGCATATTTTTACACCAACCGATCGACTTTACACGTCATATTGAAAATCTTGTTTTGTTAGGAGTCCGTTTTTATTTCCCAAAAATTACTAAAATTTATAGCAAAATTCTATGTGAAACGATTGAAGATCACAAAAAATTAATGAGGTATTTTGAAAACAATGATTTACCCCATCATACTTTTTGTTATCCTCCGAAGAAATTTGTAAAAGTTGTAATCAGAGGTCTATCCGACAATGTGGATTTGCTTAATTTGAGAGTTGCTTTGAGAGCTTCTTCGATACCAGTAAAAAGAGTTCACAAAATGCTCGTAAAGGATCCTCAGAATAGCAAAACGTTCATATTAGCAGTCATACCACTAAAAACCGAAGCAATGAAATTGTTCAAGATAAAAAGCATTTTCGGTCAAGAAGTAACGATTGAACCACCTGATGCGAAACCCAAGCAATGTCACCGGTGTCAAAGATGGGATCATAATCAGCGATTTTGCCGTGGGGAAATAAAGTGCGTCAAGTGTGCGGGTAACCACTGGTCCATAGACTGTACACTAGATCCTAAAACAAACCCTCCGAAGTGTGCAAACTGTGGCCGTAGACACACGGCTAACTTTAGACGTTGCTCTTTCTGTCCACAATCTAGATTATATAAACTAAGAAAAAAAATTAAAGAAACCTTGAGACAAATCACCCCGCCGAATAGGCTTTACTCTGAAATAGTAACCATTGATAACTGGAGAAATATATTCAATTACGTAAATTATTTTAGATTAGAAACCAATGTACCTCCGGATTAAATAACAACAATATATTAAGACAAATAATATGTTTTAATGATTTTAATTTACTTCTACATTCGGACAATGTTATTAGACTTTGGTGCATGCGATGATCGAACAATTTTACTCTTAACTATAACTAAATTTGAATTATAATTTTTTATACACTTTAGTTGATGAATACGTAATAATTCTAAAAATAACAAATAATGTGTTCATGCAAATACGGATTTTTTTTTTTTATTTACTCCTTACAAGACAATACTGTTAGTTATTATTTTGCAACAATATTAATGTGACCAAGTACTTCAGCTCGCTTCTATATCACCTGGCACTCAATTATATATCAAGATTAAGGTTGTAAATAAATTAACAGTTGCTTTTTATCGTTAACGGACAATTGAAGTTATATATGACATTGTAATAGATAATTTTAAAGGGAATTTTAATAATAAACAATGAAATAAACATTAACTTCTTTTCATTTTGTTTCGAGTTCCTCCATTCACATACCATACATATAACTTAAAACTAATACTTATTCTACATACAAACTAATAATCTTGTCATCAATCATATTTATAAAAAAAAAATGCAATCATATTTAATTTTTGTTATAAATACATTTTTTTTAAATATTTACATTGTTCAGGTACTTTTCATATAAATATAAATAACTCTATACATTTTTATGCTTAAAGTAATTCTTAAATTAAAATGTGCATATTTTCTCATAATAAGTAAATAATATTCAATAATACTTAAAATTAATGTAATAGTAATAGAAGCGACATATGTAACGACTTGTAGGAAATTGTTACTCAAAAAATTGTTACATTAAAATTATTAAATTATAAAACAAATTTCATTAAGTTTACGCTTCGATGGTTATTGAATTGCATTATTTAGGTATATCGAGTTATTCGATACTTATAAAATTATATCATATAGCTTTCATTGCCTGCTGAGCATTACTTCGTAACACATCTTTATCAGAAGTATCGTCGAGTGGAGTAACGCGTACCTATAAAAAATACGGAATTGTTAAAAAAATAAAATAAAATATAAATAGAAAGCTCCAGCGCATCAACGTAGAGTTAAAATCTATAAACAACATAAGTTTTTTTTGGGTTTGAATTGACGGGTAATTTAAATAGTTTCTTGCTAGGTACGTATACATCTTAGACATCGTTTGAGGCCACAAATGACAATTTCTACCCCGAATAGTATACAAAATACAACTCGAATATCCAAAGTAGAATTAATAATAGGAAACCTAGACGGATGGCAGCCAAACCAATAAGCCAATAGTCAAAAAGTCAAAGTCAAAATAATCTTTATTCAAATAGACTTCTTAAAAGTACTTTTGAATCGTCCAACATTTTCTCCCTACCACTCGTTCAGGACGTCTTTTGGCTGATAAGAAGAACGAGCAAGAAACTCACCAGCTCTAATATGAGTAATGACATTTACAAAAACCATGTCATTACCAGATCAATACATTATAAACAGAGATAAAAAAAAAACTATGGTCTTATAATAATAACATAATCATTTAATAATAATGGAAACAAGATAATGAGTTTAGAAGTAATCACCTATCCAGTTGCTGGATCATCTCAAGTCCAAGCGTTCTTATCTGTTACATAATCGGATACCTTATAATAAGCTTTTTTAATAAGTATTTTTTTAATAGTAGATTTAAACTGCATGATATCTAATTGTTGTATTTTGCTTGGGACCTTATTGTAGAAGCGCACACAAAGACCCTTGAAAGAGTTATTAACTTTTTGCAGTCTAGTGACAGGCACCGTTAATTTATTTTTATTTCTTGTATTAAAATTGTGTACATCACTTTTTATAGAAAACAAACTAATATTTTTACGAACGTACATTAAGTTCTCGTATATGTATTGAGAAGCAACAGTCATAATGTCTATTTCCTTAAATTTCTCCCTTAAAGAGTCCCTAATCCTAAGATTATAAATTGATCGAATTGCTCTTTTCTGAAGCACAAAAATTGTTTGTATGTCGGCAGCATTTCCCCACAATAGGATACCGTATGACATAACACTATGAAAGTAACTGAAGTATACTAATCTGGCAGTATCTATGTCAGTTAACCTACGTATCTTCATTACGGCATATGCTGCAGAGCTAAGTCTACTCGACAATCTATCAATATGTGGGCCCCACTGTAGTTTAGAATCTAATGTTATTCCTAAAAATACTGTGGTATCCACAAGGCCCATGTTCTTATCTTTTACATTAACATTTATATCTACTTTTTTAACATTAGGTAGTACAAATTTTAAGCATTTTGTTTTTCCTTCATTAAGGAGAAGATTATTTACATTAAACCAATGTACTACTTTAGCGATAGAATTGTTCACATCGTCATTTAGAGGTAACCCTCTTTTAATTTTAAACAAGAGTGAAGTGTCATCCGCAAACAAAACTATTTCGTGATCATCCCTTACGAAATAAGGCAAGTCATTTATGTAAATCAAAAACAAGAAAGGACCAAGTATTGAGCCCTGCGGAACGCCCATCTTAATTTTCGATCCAGGGGATCTTTTGCCATTGATATCAACCCTCTGTACTCTGTCAGTCAAGTATGAGACAATAAAATCCAATGAGTTATCTCTAAATCCATAAAAATGCAGTTTCCTAATCAATGTTTCATGAAAAACACAATCAAATGCCTTAGATAGGTCACAGAAAACACCTAACGCATCATGTGAATCCTCCCAGGCATTAAAAATTTCTTGTATTAACTCGACACCGGCTTCGGTTGTCGAGCGACCCCTTGTAAAACCAAATTGTTGTCGATTCATAAGCTTATTCTTGTAAAAGTACGTTTGTATTTGATCCAGCATGATTTTTTCAAAAATCTTACTAAACGTAGGTAGCACGGATATAGGTCTAAAGTTAGTAGGGTCAGATGTGCTACCCGATTTATGTAAAGGAATAATTTTACTATATTTCATGAGCTCAGGAAAAATACCACAATCAGTACATTCATTAAATATATAAGCTAAGATTGGAGCTATTGTCTCAATTACCGATTTAGAAACTTCAATGGAATTACCCCATAAATCAGCAGTTTTCGTTTTCTTTAGCTGATTAAAAGATTTTATTATATCTTTAAAATCAATGTGTTGAAACTTAAATTGGCTATTAGAATTATTTAAACTTGCCTTTAAAATAGATTCAGCAACAGTGGAAGAGGAATTCAAAGATTGTGTAATTAAGACTGGAATTTCAGTAAATAAATTTTCAAATACTGTAGCAACTTCAAGATCTGATGTTACTTTTTTATTATCAATGTTTAAATTAAAATTTATATTCCGGGATTTTTCTCTTCCAGTTTCACTATTTATGATATTCCACGTCATTTTAACTTTGTCTTTACTATTTTCAATTTTTGCATTTAAATAATTACATTTGGCTAAACGACACACTTTTTTAAATAATTTAGAGTAATTTCGTACATATTCTTTGAAGTCCTCACTTGTGTTATAATTACGTTCATCATATAGTTCATAGAGCCTTTTTCTGCTTTTGTAGATTCCTGGTGTAGCCCACACACTAAAAGTTATAGGATTACTAATACTTATTTTTTTTGGGACAAAAATCTTATTGAATTCTGTACAATAAACATCAAAGAAATCTTTGTACAAATCATTGGGATTACTATTATGTTTCAAATGATACAATTTACTATCTAATTGATTTTTAAAACGTTCCAAGCGACTCATACTTTTTGACACAACTGTAATGTCTCTCCTAGCCACAAACGTACATTTATGCGGAAAGCTAACTAGTTGTCCAAAATGATCTGACGGTAGTTGTTTAATTATCTGTCTTGAAAGTGGTACTAGATCTGTAAAAATGTTGTCAATACATGTGGACGAAGTAGCAGTTACTCTAGTAGGCTCCTTAAACATGTGCGCAAGATTATAGGACATAAATAGATTTACAAGTCTTGTACATGAATTGGAGTTTCCTAATAAATCAACGTTAAAATCACCCCCAATCACTAATCGTTTGCCTTTGCTATATACCTTTTTTAATGCTTCATCCATAACAGTTTCAAAGAGATCATAATGAGAAACTAAACTTGAAGGAGGTCTATATACGCTCAGTACAATCAGCTGGTCCAGCTCTATACAGGCAATCTCTATTATTTCCTCAACCGATAGGCTCACTATATCTCTACGTTCTTTAAATTTAAACTTTTTATTTAATAAAATTAGTGCGCCACCACGCATTGCGTTTTTCCTAATGAACGCGCTACCAACAAGGTGATTATTGAAGTTAAAAATGCAATTATAACTTGTTAACCAATGTTCCGTAATACAGAAAAAATCAACATTGTTACAGTTCATGAATAATTCCACTTCTAACTCTTTACTCAACATTCCTTGAACATTTTGGTGCACTAGGTTGATGACTGAAAAACTCTTGGTTCCATTATTATCCATAACTCATGTACCTGTAATCGTAACTTAATTAAGCGGTCCACAGCAACCTTAAAGTCGTTTACGTATTAATAAAAAAGAAAGTTCTATTTTCAAGAAAACTTATCACCATAAATAAATAAAATCTGTGTATTGATTTTGTTTTCAACATATTAATCTGCTAACATCACTAATATTTTTGGATTTCTAATATTTCACACATACACAATATTTTGATTGTCATTTTTTCAGATTTGCGAAAACGTGGATTATCCTATACACTTTTTGTTTAATTTTCGCAGTTTTGAATATTAAATAAAGGCAAAAGCTTTTAACAAATCAGGCAATGTAGATACATTGCTTGATTTACTTAAAGCTTTTGCTAAGTAAATTGTGCTTATTTCTATCTACTCGCTTTAATGAAAAGCAGTAAGTATTAAGAGATCTAAAAGAGATCAATCAGATTTAAGCACAAATTTAGACCATTTTTTTCGAAGAAGTGGGTCAGATTTAAGCACAAAAGACTTTTTAGTCGCGAAGGAAACGTTAGGCTCTTTAAGCATACAAATGTGTGGGAATCTCTTTAGCAAATGTACCTGACACGGCTTCCAGGAGCCTAAACAGGAAGTTGTGTCCGAATCACCGTGATATTCAACCCCAAGGCACAAACTTAGACCTACCTTAGACCTCATGACTTTGATGAGTTGTCGCTATGAAATATATGAAAAAAGCATGCAAATCTTACCTCAAGAGTCATATTGGAGATTCTTGTGCCATCTAACTCAGCAAGCACTCTATCCAAAGTGTCCACTAGACGGTCAGCATCCTGAGTACTGAACACCATAGGAGGCTTGAATTTTAACACATTGCTATCAGGTCCATCTCGGCTTATAAGGATCTTCTCTTCTCGCATTCTGAAAGTAATACGAGTAATTCGACTTAATGTTAAATATATATTAGAGAAAAATCATTTTATAATTTACTTGGTATAGTAAATTATAAAAATGATTATTTTCAAATGAAAAAGAGAAGGTTATTTATGTAAATTATAAATATGATCATCCATTCCAATTCAAATCATCCACATTCAACAGGAGCTCAACACAAATGCTACTGTTATCTAAATAATATAATTGGAATGTTACTTAAAATAATAGAAAAACTATTTAGTAACAAAAATAAATTACATAATTAAGTAATAACTACGAGCACTGGGTTATGACATTTTAAATCAAAATCGATTTTGAAAAATTGTTTAACTATTATCGATGTCGATATCGATAAAAATATGTCCAATTTTAATAATCATTTCGTTTAGCATATCATTTGTTAATTACCTATTTATAACGTGTTTTGCTTCAGCAGTTGCCGGTGTTCTTTTCTCTTTATCGGTGACCAGTTCTACTCCGACAAACAACCCTCTACCGCGAACATCTCCAACTAGCCGATGCCGATGCTTTAGGCTCTCGCATCTTGCCAATAAATGATTCCCCACCCTAAATGCACGCTCCATAAGACGCTCTTCTTCAATCACGTCGAGAACTGCGTTGGCTATAGCGCAGGATACAGGGTTGCCTCCGTACTGTTCGGAAATATAATATTCAAGTAAATCATCATCATCAGCCCTACTGCAGCCCTACGTCCCTACGGCAGAGGCTCAGGCCTTCCTAATGGAAGGTTAAAGGGGATGGGCTATGACCGTCCACGCTGCCCTAATGTGGATTGGAGCGTATTAACGACTGAAAACGCAACCATGACCAAAAGCTTAATGTCCTTCTGAAACACGGAGTAGCTCGAGATAATAATTTTTTGGTCACCCATCCCGTAACCGACCGTTGCGAAAGTTGCTTAACAACAACGATCGCGGACAGCGGCGCTTATCTTATAAGCCACCAAGCTATTAATTCATTCAGATAAATATTGGGTTAGTAATGTTTAACGGATTTATTGAAAATTTTCATTAAATTATGTTTAGCCCTGATACGCTACTGCTATGCTAGATTACTCTATTTCTGTAGTTTGACTATTAAAAAAGTCTTTAGCTAATAATATTTCAGTGCAGATCCAGAACTTAGCATTTATGATCAAATTCTTTTGATTTTTCAGTGAATAATGTTATCAGCTAACAAAATAATTACTTTTTGTACAAGAAAATTTAATGTTCTTGAATCAAGGCCAAGGTGCTCTTTAATTTGCTCCCATCTAACTTCGCTAAAAAGTTTCAAAGTAACGCTAATTAGTGAAACGGATTATTACCGTGTTGAAGTATTCCACGCCAGTGTCGGCGAAACTCTTGGCTATTTCTGGTGTTGTAATGACAGCGGCGACAGGGTGGCCATTTCCCATAGGCTTGCCGACTGTGACGATGTCGGGAACTACGTCCTGAGTCTCGAAGGCCCACATATGGGTGCCCACGCGACCGAAGCCGACCTGCACCTCATCAGCGATGCAAACACCTCCTGCTTCACGTACATGTCTGAAAAGATACAACTTTATGTTTATGTGGAAAATTTATGTTAACTACATAAAAAATCTGTTACCATCCGATACAAATGCGGATGACGCAATCATCTAAAATATATATAAATATAATCGCACGTCAGTTTTACTATCTTATTGCATAATAATCATAAACGAAATGTACGATAATGTATGAGTATCTTACTGTCAGTTCACGTGCACTAGTACTGATTAGTATAGACTCTTCAATTCATCTTAACGGCCTACAAATTTGATATTTATGATAAACTAGTGGCCGCCGGCGACTTCGTCCGGGTTTTCCATTATTTCTTCGCTCCTAATAGTTGTAGCATGATGTTAAATATTCTCGATGAATGGTCTATTCAACACAAAAACAATTTTTCAATTCGAACCAGTAGTTCCTGAGATTAGCGCGTTCAAACAAACAAACTCTTCAGCTTTATAATATTAGTATAGATAATAAGCTGGTACTCGATAGTGTTAGCAAGTTCGGTCTGCGATGCGAAAGTTAAGCAACTTTCCCAAGTGCCTATCGAAAGATTGATGACCAAAATTTTATTATCACCTCCGTGCTTCCAAAAGGCGCGGTAAGCAGTTTATCCCAGCTGTATGTGTAGCCGTTAACACTCACTAAACCGTACTAAGACCAACGGGCCATGGCCCGTTCTTCCTATACTATTCCATCCATGGGGAAGATACGTTAAATTGTCTAATGTCTGATTTACTAGGCTCGTGACCTGATATGTTAAAAAATAGCAGTATGGAAAAAGAACTAAGTTGTATTTATTGTATAAAAATAGATATAGCCGTGGTATTCAAGCACTAAAGTTAAGAAATTTTAAATAAAAATGGATTCACTAATTTAAGTGTATTTGTGGATGCTATAGGCTATTATTTATGCGATCAAAGTAACGTTAAAATAGTTAACATTCAGAATAAGTAAAAGAAAAGACACAGGAAAATTTTCCCAAAGAATCCTTACTTGTATGTATTGCTTAGGTAGCCATGAGGCGGAATTATTTGCCCACCACAACTTTGTAGGCTTTCTGCTATGAACGCGCACACACCACGACCATTACTTTCCGCCAATCGGCACAATTTTCCCACTTCATCCGCGTACATCTTCCCTAATTCCTCTTCGGATTTGGAATCTTTAGGATAAGTGTACTTTCCTCTGTACACATCTGGCACTGGTGCCTGCAAATCATATACTATGAAAAAATCTATAAAAACCAGATCAGTGTTTTCCTAAGCTTTTAAAATATATATTCTCATTTCTTTAAAAAATATTTGATATTATATATAATTTTAAAATTACGTTACATTATATAAGGTATATATTCTTTAAACGATTACTTTAACAAATAGGTATAGGTAATAATCGCCAATACCGATAACCCTTATAATTGTTCCAGTAACCAAGCTTACTTATATTATAGGACTTTGATCTCATTATTAATAGAATATTATTTTATTTATCAATCGTATTTGTTAAAATTACCTAATAACAAATGTTATCATTTGAATCTACGACAAAGTATGTATCTCTAACGCTCGCTCTTAAAACAAACGAGCGTATTTTTTTTTATTATATCTCTGAGTATCGGGTTCATCAAATACATGACGAACTTACCACGTGAACCCATTCTGGCTTCTCGGGCCCACCGGGAAGGTTCAGTTTGTAGGGAGATACTTCAATCATAGAAGTAAGATGGCCGTGATACGCGCTGGAACAAAGAGGCGCTAGAGCACCCTAAAAACACTTCGACCAGCGAAGTAACGACAAACAATTCCAACGCATTACAAACACTCACGCTTCACATTCGTAGGATTCATCAGTGTAGGGTTCATATAAAACTGGCATGAAATAGTAATTAGAAATATATTCGAGGATTTTTTTTTCCAAGTAGGATTTACAAAAGACCTTTCGGGTTAATAACGAAGAAATAGTTATTTTCTGATAACTATTGATAAGTGTTATTCTTTTTTGGCACACTTTCATAGCGCAATGACTGTCGACAATAAATTAAGTTAAGCCTGGCTGTGATATTCATGAAGTAAAAATATATATATATTGAAATATTATCGGGTATTATAACTTTTTCTAACGAATATGTGGTCACTATACATGGAATGCTTTTATGACAGATAACAACGTTTGGCAGCAAATTTAAAATTCATTTCTTGAACTTGTTGCCTAAATGTTTTTCTGTACAGATTATTTTGTAACAAAATAGTTTCGATAAATAAAATTAAATACAGGTAACTTTTTTTATAACGAAAGAATCTGCAAAAATATAACATAAATAAACCAGAATAATGTAGTTAGTGAGTGCAGATCATTTTTTTTCTTATCCTACCTACGTCAATTATGACAATGCTGTTTCCAACTGGTTTCATGAAATACACACATTCACCACTTCACATTCGTAATTTGGGATCCTTATAGTAAAGTCAAATAAATAATCTTAAGAAACTTACTGGTCAAGTGTGATGACGTCTTTCCTTTTGGTGTGGATCCGAGCGAGCCTTAAAGCCAGATCATTAGCCTCAGAGCCCGAGTTAACAAAGAAGCACACAGATAGTGGACCAGGCATCGTCCTCACGAGCCTCTTGGCGAGAATCACCAGCTCGTCGTGTAAATATCGATTATTTGTCGATATCAATGACATTTGGTTTCTACCTGCTTCTACTACATGCGGATGACAATGGCCAACTGTTTGGAAACAAAAAAGAATTTGTTCATATTTCTGTTTAGTTTTATTGATTGAATTTGAAATTCTATTTTTATATTAAACCCGAAGACACTTATCTGGTCCCTTCTTGTCTTCCGGGTATATATCTTATGGTTATCTGGGTATCCAGAAGATACTAAGCTAAACCTATAGATCGGACTAGAGTTGGGATTATATAGATAGCCTCAAATAATTCATTTGAATCGGACTTTTTTCAGCACCTAAGAAAGTATGTATGAATTCCTCTTATTTAGTGCAAATTGGATACGCGCTTTGAGGTTTCCGCACAAATATAAAATAAAATATTTTACAGCTTTTCATGAAATCTATGATATAGGATTTTAAAAAATCTGAGATAATTAAAAAAAAAAATTATAATATAAATAGTTTAAAAACTTTTTAAATCCCTAATTCCCTAAAGTATGTCCCATTTTATATTTATTTATTACCCGACTACGGAGATGCGAAAAGGTAGGTTATGATTTTGGTCGGTATGTATACCTATGTATGTAAGAATGGTCATCTTTACCTTATAACTTTCAAACTAATCATCGTTACTCGTAACCAGCCAAATGAGGTATCAATAGAAACTTCTTAGTTGCGTGCTATATAGGCTGTGTGACGTTACATTTAATTGGCAACATAATATAGCTATCTCTATAAAATAAAATCTTGTTTCAAACTTTTTAGTATGGTTAAGCTTACATTTACATGCCTTTGAAATATCGACGAGTGGCAGTTATATTTAATCTGTGCCGCATTACTCCACACACGGGTAAGTAATTAGGTACTAACTTTCATACATTTCGACACGGGACGGAGCAAATATAATCACTCTAATAGTCCACGCTGGCTCAGTGCGGATTGGAAGCTATTAACGACTGCAAATGCAGCCGGGACCAACGGATTAACGTGCTTCGGGAGGCCTAGTTCGACATAAAATTTTTTTGGTCACCCATCCCGTGACCGACCCTAGTGATAGATGCTTAACAATAATGATCGCGGGCCGCGGCGCTTATCCACTACGCCACCGAGCTACTTTAATAATGATTTAATTCAACATAACTCACCATGCGCTACGTTGTTTATACAATCGAGATATCTTTCACCAGACTCATCGTACATGAATTGAGCGATACCCCTCACAATTTTCAAGGGGCTCGATCGGAAAAATAGTTGGCAAGCGGCGCTGGAAAAATATCGCAATTGATGAAAAAAGCCAATATATATATGTATTTTTTTTTTATTATTTCCCTAGTATTATTTTGATATTTAGCGCAAAGAAAATACTTAAAAAAAAAGAAAATACTTAAGCATAGAATGTATTTATAAAAAAAGCAACTCGAGAGACTACCACAGTTATTTTTTTCTGAAATATTTACCTGAGATGTTATGTATTGTAATATTTTTCAAATTTTGCATTCATATTACTTTTTTATTCGCATCAAAATGCTTGAAATAAATGCAAATATCCCAACTCGGGGTGAATTTTTAATATTTTTTTATTAAGATATTTAGGAATTGTACTTTGATATTAATTAAAACCTTCATGATTATTTTAATATGCAGTAAACAAACTTTAGGTCATCAACCTCCAGAGATACCTAACCTAAGAAAAAACGTTTTACAGAAATCTTTTTTTCCTCTTTATCTATGTTTGTAGGTTAAAAAAAGAGAGATAAACCTGAATATAATTTGTCCTAACGAACACAATACTAAAATCAGTGAACTAATTAAAAAAAATTGCTGTATACTTACCCAATATGTTTCTCCCGAAGCTTGATTGTTTCAGATTTGGGCATCGATTGCAAATAAGCCATTATTAGTTTACTAATATCTCCTGTAAAAAATAAATATAAATATTTACCGTGCCACTGACATAGTAATTGAAAATAAAATTTATAGTAAAATAACGAACCTTTAAAAATAACTAAGATATGAGGTAATTTTAAGGAGATTTACTATAAATAGTTTGATTGCTAAGCGCAGTTGCGCATCACGTGCAACGCACGAGCACAGAATGCTGCATTCGGAACATTGTATTTGGATATATATATATACAGAGGCAGGCGACGCACGCCCTCATAGTACCCAATGGAAACAAGTAAACCAGTTATCAACAACATGATAATATTATCATGTACTATGAAGAAGACCACGCAGCCGCACATGGAGCGAACGCATGGTTATTAAGTGGAAGTTACTTGCAATAAAATTAATTAATATCCATTTTTAAATTATATTATCAACATTATAATCAAATAAAATATATTTGGGTCACTAGAATACAAATGTTCGTTCGGTAACGATATAAAAGTATGGATTTGTATTCTTCTTTAACGTAAACTAACGACAATACAAAAATCACAGAACCAATTGGTTAAGAATATTATTAGTCTGGTTTATGCGAACAAAACCATAAACAACGTATAGTCAGGAGCTTCTATAAAAGCTTGTTTCCATAGATATTTCAAACATTATTTTATAATCTACAAAATGATTCCACTTATTTATATTAAAATATAGTCATAATCGAAGTCCAATTTACGTTATCAAACTACCGTTATGTTATACGTTATCTTCAAAATCATTAATTGCTTAGTATATTAAGCATTTATCGTTCTTTTCCTACCAACGTCTAGGTATTCCGGCTTAGGTATGCTAGTTGCAATTAGTCGGTGAAAATTATTTTACATTGAAGTAATTACGTTGAAATGCAACAAATTATCAAGCGTACTACGCCGTGAAAAGCTTCGTCTTCAGAATCTTCTTACTTTTAAGTAAAATTTTCCAATGAAAATGTGCTAGCGCCAAGAATATAGATTCTCAATAACTAATTTAAAATGTGTTATCTTAAGAACTCGTAAATGTTAAGTTATTAGATATTATAAAAATAAACAATGTTTATAAATAACATAAATGAGAGAGATCAACGTAATAATAACTAACTAAATAACAGATAAACCGAACAAGTATACTTTCATTCATCGTGGATGTTTGACAAACTCAATTGAATAATTTTCCACTGACGTGATGATATTGTGATCACGATATCTATAGCGTCACTGTGATTGTTATCAAAACATTGGAGATTGTGCGAAGAAAAAAATGTCAAGTAAGTATAGTTTGTAGTATCAGAATGTTCCGCGAGTATTTATCATGTTCCTGGTGACTCGCGAATCACGGCTTCACAGGTGTCATTCCCCAGCAGATCACTGTAGGGATTTTGAAACGGCAGAGGGATCCCGTCTGTTGTTTACGAGGTGGGGATTGTGCTTAAAGCATTTCCCCGACGAAAAAAAGTATTTTGTTAACCTTATGCGTTGATGACAACTGTAACTGCGTCATGCGTAATTGTAATTATAAAATATTCCGTTAATATATTTTGTAAATCATCACTTATTGTCACTTTAGTTGAATTAATGATATCAATAATTAACTTAACCATTAATTTGATCCTCCAATCAAAAAGTTCGGTATGATGGGGCAGAATACCGCACCGACGACGGCGCCGGCCGGCGTCTGCCTTAATGCAGATTTGCATTATTTCGAGACATGGTAATTATCATACCGTACTCGAATGTATATCAATTTTAATAATTCAAAAATTGACTTTATTTGTAACGTCTTTCTTAAGGCTGCTCAGCCTTAAGAATACATATTATTTTTATTAGTAATTTTTATTTTATTATTTTTTGTGATATATAAGAAATAATGTCAACGACGAAATTAATATGAAGAATTCTTCCAGTTATTTTAATAAAAAAAGAAACTGCTGATCTGATTGTGGAACCACTTCTACCAACTTTCGAATAAATAAATGAAATAGAAAATCTCTCTGCAATCATGGAGAAATCGGTTAAATATACATAAAAAGATAGTTATAGATGTAGACTCGAACATAGGCCTGTAATCAGTAAAGTCCTATGTCAATATTTATAAAATTAACTAGTTGATATATTAATTCTGTGAAAGCCTTACGATTAATTGAATCCATTTTTTATATAAAAATACAAAACAAAATTGATTGATTATACGTATCTCAGATATTCTATCACTTTGTCATTTTGAAACTCACTTCACTTTTTTTACTTTTGTATACTTGCAGATACTGTAAAAAAAGTTGAATAAATATATTATTATTACTAGCTGACCCGACAGACTTCGTCCTGTCAAAAAGATTTGTAATGTGGCAGTTTTTTTGTCTACGTATTTCTGTGCTCCAACGCACACACGCACATTGTTTTGATAGATATGATCTTTGACGTTAGGAACACACCTACATTGCTTAGACAACAGTGAGTGCTTGTAATTTAATATGAACTTTATACCATAGCAATAAAGCTCAAATTGACTACGTGTTAGTTACAAATCATTTGTATGGGAAAAAGAAAAGGGCTATTTTTAGGGTTTTTCCAGCAATAATTCAAATTTTTCTCTTCTTCTTCTAAAATTCTTCTTCTTCTTCTAAAATCTTTTTTTAAAATGTTCGTTGAACTTCAACGAACATTTTAAAAAAAGATTTGGCCAAATTGGTCGAGGCGTTGTTGAGTTATGCGCTTACCAACACATTTTGCGATTCATTTTTATATATATATATATAGATTTCTTATACCATGAAACGTTGATACCAATTCAAGATTGAACAGATGCCGCTTTTGAAGTGAATTTGGAAACCTGAGTGAATTCAAATTCGGGTTCGGAATTTCACAGAACCGCAGAGCTTGAATTAAAACTGATTTTATTTTTCATGAAACCTTTATGTACAGGACACATATTTAAAAATGACATCGAGTTTTCTAAAACCATCTATATTATCAAAATCAAATCATTTTTAAAATAGATTCCACTTAGGTACGGATGGAAGTCTAATGCCTCCACTGTCAATTTTCAAAAACAGCAAATATAACTTTGTAATATATAAAACACTATGACAAACATAGTACCTAATTATTTTCGAATTTATGATTGCTAGGGGCCTTGCTTAGCTGAGGCGTTCAGGGGAGAATCGGACTCCCACTTGGTCACATTTTTTATTTATCTAGTCTTTCGTCCGTTCATTTTTCGTGATCCCAAAGTTTTTACTTATAATAATTAATATACTTCCAAGTGACATAAAATAAACTACTCGATGCGAAATATGACAAACAGGAATTAATCACTATTTACAATGGATTTAGTAGAACTATTTAATATTTGCACTAAAGCATTAGTTGTTTAAAAGTTGATATCTACAACATATCAAACAGACAACAATGTAGGTATCTAACCTAGCCTACCAATGATTAATTAATGATCGTAAGTCCTACTTCTTTTAATATTTAAAATAAGATGACTTTTTCGAAGTTTAATATTAACGCCTTAAAGTGCTTAAACACTTACAGTGCTACTTATAAACAAGGTTTAACGTAAGAGTTTTAAGTCAGAGGTTTACGAAAGAAATTTACGCTATAATTTCAAATTTTAGTATTAGTCCATATTCATATTACACAGAGAATAAGCAAATCTACTACCTTCTAGGAGCAAATATTACTCCCGTGGAACCTCGTACTAGGTTAACCTTTGTTAAGACTCTGTTTAATAATATGAATTTTGACCAATACGAAGAGCAGTCTCAGCGAAAATTTACTCAAACGCTAAACCTTGTTTAAAAGTAGCACTGTTCTAGACAAGTATCTCGTCTAATTATAATAAATAAGCGGGTACATTTTGAAAACTATATTGTACGAGTAACTACACAATGAAAACGTCGCAGAAAAGTATAACGTAAAAACGTTTATTTAGATTTTTAGATAAGATTAGTTTTTAAATTTCAGTATTTGAACAACAACATTTTGATAACCCAGAAAATAAAACAAAATCTACCTAGACGTTATCATAAGGTCGTTAGGTCAATCGGATAAGTGGTAAGTTTCATTTTAAAGTCTTTTTTTTTAATTAGACGGAGTAAACTATCCTCGGTAATTCAGCTTTTGCTTTTCAAAATCGCAAAATTTTAAAAATTTATTCTTTATATACCTACATAGTTTTGAACAGTAAAACTTAATCTTCTTCGTCATGTTGATTGATCGTGTAATGTGTACATAACTAAAATAAAATAATTCAGCTGAATCAATCTTTTTTACACAATATTTTTAAACTAAAGCAGTCACAACACAAGACACAATTAAATAAATACAAAAACTGTTTCGAAACTTTGAACATTTATGATAGGTACTAAATAGTTTCACTGCTTTCATAGCAATTATTCACAAAGTCAAACTGAAAATTTTCTTTACTTAAATTGGAATCGAGTGGTTCGTATGCTGGTGTCAACTTGCCGCCATCTCTGAAATCCCGGATTCGTTGGCTGAGATCAATATACAACTTTCCTATTCTGGCTAAGTTTTTTTTTTCCTATAATTTATACATAGCATTAGCCTATATAGCTTATATAGGTCATCTTGGAATCAAAAACGAAAGGCCTTCTATTTATCAAAATTCCTATTCCTATCAATTTATACCTTCTACGCAATAAATTGACCACTACGTAGGTAATTTCTTATTATCATCACAATTTTATCGTTGTTCATAATTAAAATAACATCTTACGCAATTCAGCTATCTAAACGTAAATATCTGTAAATAGCCTCATGAGATGATATCTATACGACATCTGGAAATAACTTGTAATCAAAGAGATCCGTGTAATATTTATCAACGGAGGCATGAACTAATAATGGAGGTAATGATTTAATTGGCTGCAAGTACTTAATTATGCAAAATAGATTCTACATTTCAAAAATTTTATAAATAATGCATTATTAATGTACCCGTTTATTAAAGGAGACATTACCGATACAAAATGTTAATTTAAGAAAATTAATTAGAGCGTAAAGTCGTCATTATACCATAATGAAACCGTTTATGCATCTGGACGTATATTCTTAAAATAAATTATAGCATTATCATTCAGACCCAATTGCACAAACGTTAATTAAGGTTTAATAGCAGCCGAAATTCGAAAAATTGTAGGTATGTCGCTTTAAAGTTATGGTAAATAAAATGATTTTGAAAGTCTTGTTCGTTTTGTGGAGATAATATAGT